TAACATTACTAAATTAGAAAGAGGTAACGAAACCAAAAACACGTAACCGGATTATTATCATGAACTTCTGAAGGTGATCGCTGAAGAGAATTGAAAGCTATCTCTTATTAATAACTTTAACAATGCAAGTCCTATATACCAATTTATTGATATTTAATATTGTGTGTGTTAATTTTTATAGCTTTGTGACTGTAAATTAAATTATGCTCCCTTAGATCTGTACTAGAAGTAAATACAAGAACAAAGGGGAACTAGAACTTAGAAGGCCGGTATAGGCCTAAGATGTCATGGGTACCTGAGGTTTAACTTAATCATTTAATGTTAAAATAGAAGCTTTATTCATACTCATCTTCGAAGTTAGGTAGCACAGAATATATATAGAAGAATAGAAATAGAATGAGTATAATAGTTATATGCAGTTACTTCCGCGGTTTCTCTAGAACAGGATAAGTGTAATTCACCTTTGTCTGCAACGTAAGTTTTGTAGGCCTAATTTAACTTGGTCTTGTACAGTTGTAGGTATAGACGTGCTGCGTATGACTGAAAGTTATGAAATTATAACTTTTCACATTTTCAGAACAAAAGTTTTGCTACTAACAAAACGATGTTGAATGACCCGAATGGTCGTCTGATTCTAATACTATACAACTATGAGTTTCAGTATTTTGTGTTCTTCGAGTAGAATGCATTGCTTAAACCAAAGTTAAAGCCAGTTGTTTTTTTTGTTTTTTTGTAAATCAAGAAGCATGCATATGCTGATACAGTCAGCTACATTTATGTTAAATTATTTTAAAAACAAATCTGTATTTTAAATTAATAAGTATTATATAATACTTCTATTTTATACGTTAGCTCTAACAGTAACAGTCTACCGTTATCTTATTTCATTACTTGCCTTCCTAAGCAAAAGGTCACAACCCGAAAGTGAGAAACGCGCAAATAGATCGAACGAGTTAGGCCTAAGCCTACTTTAGGCTTAACATCATAAGCTGAAACAAAATTAAAACAACATAATGCATTTCTTTAAGTCAAGTTTGAAAAGCTAAGCAAGGGTTATCACCACTAGCCAACCCTAATTTAGCAGTTACAGACAAGAGTGAAAAGCAGGTAGTCAATATCATCAGCTGACAACTTGGGCTGCTCTTACTAAAATTATATTGTGACAATCAATCCCACTATTCCAAATATAATAAGAAATGGCGAGCATATTGGGGGGTTTCAATCCCCTTCACAAAATCTAAGGGTCATATATATGTTTCACAATGCAGTTAAGGTCTGATGGTTAGAAAGTTTGACTTGCTATTGTAAGTAAA